AACACAAATTTAACATTCATGCCCAATAATTGTGATGGTTCGTGAAAAGTCATCTTTGCCAAATGATTATATCTGTGAAAGTTGTTCTTGTAACGCGTATGCCTAACTTGACTTGACAATTACCTGACAGTGTAGTTGCATAGACTTGATATCATGTTGTACATGTGACTTTGTGCTACTGAACAATCTTTACATGTTACTGGACAAGACGATTATATTACATGCACACTTGAAAGATTTGTTAAGTCTAAATATTACTTCTCGACTCGATAATCACATTGCTGGAACTAAATGTAAACATTGATGATATTAAGTCAGTATTTATAGCATATAGTAATGTTTCAATTTTACAGGTATCTGTTCAATTCAACACAACAATACTTGAACCTAAAGAAGGTTTGAGGATGGACATTAGAGCTGATCCAAATTCAACGGTGTATGTTATGATTGAAGATAAGAGGAGCAGACTCCTGGGCACTGGAAATGATGTGTTTGACAATGAGGTATGGTTAAAGTAGGTCTAATTGGTAAAACAGTATTTAGTTCAACGATATAATCTATTTTTTGAGGCCTTCCCACGCTGTATATTCAAAAAACCTCATCATGACATTAGCAATGTAGGTGTTGGTCCCATTTCTGTCAAATACTCATGTTTATGAAAGTTGTCCATTGTATATAATATTATTTTGTGGATGTTATTTTATTTCTTTTCTCTCATATCTTCAGATTGTGTCCATGGTGGAAAATATAGCTTCGTACGTAAGTAGATATTTAGTAATACATAAGATAGCTAGTTACATACTATTTTGACTGATAGTGTCGCTCGAGTGAGTGAACTTGTTTTGGAAGGAACATATCTTTACCATTTTTGAATTAATAAAAAACTCATAACATTACATAAAGCTTTAACATGGGTCTAAAAGAAACAGTCAACTTTAAATTTATATCAGTAAACATAAAAGGTGTAAAACAAATTTAATTTGTATTAAATTTGTATTGATCAATTGTATTTTTCATAAGGATGATGATGTTGTAATGCTGTCAGATATACCTATATTTACCGAGACCAATGTCATGGATTTACTGATGTTTAATACAAGTCTACCTAAACAATGTATGTCGAATTACTTGTTTTAAGTATTTTTACATATAAATTATATATTTTCAAAAGCTTGTAAAATATTGATGACGATACATTTAATTTTTCAAAATTTATATGTTCGTCGATAGACATATTTCTATATCTACAACTGTTTTACTTTTTTGTATCTTATTTACATTGACATTAATATAATTATTGTTTTACTTTCATATTTCGTTCTTTGACATTGATATAATGTAGATAAAATCTATATATTTTTTATTATCCCCCAAAATTGGAGAGCGTAACATATTTACAAAGTATATATATGTACATACAACAGAAAATAATTATATACAAATGCATAACATTGTAATATAAAATATACAATAACATGAAATTCTTTTACAATTGTAAAATCTATAACTTTGAAGATAAGAAATTGTTAGATAGGTCGCCGTCATATGATTTTATTTCTTATGATAAAAATTGCTAGCAGCATCAACAATGCATTAATATTGATCCCATGTAGTTCGACATCTTAACTAAATCGGGAGAAAAAATGCTTTCTGTTGATGCCATCATAACATAGCAAATTATCCATGAGGCAAAATATTTCTCGAAAAAGTTTATGTTTTCATTCAACGCACTATTTTTCTGTTACAGGTTTTCATATCACTACTCCACCTCCACGTAAGATTGTAGCTTATAGTTTAATTGGGTTCAGATAAATTTTAAAATATTAGATATTTTACAAAATTTATATAATGTTTATGTATATCATTTAAGTTATATACACATATTTACTTCTTTTAAAGTTTCATAAAAGTACACTCAAAGCTCTGTTTATAATAAATTAGACTTATATACATTTCTAATTAATTTTATGAGATCCAGTTTTAACTGAAAGCAATAAAACAAATGCTCAACCAATGAAGCAACAAACAACAAGCATAATCAGATAATTCACTTTCTCTTTGCAGAATACTTCCCAACTTGGAGTAAGTTCATTTATTATAACTTGAGTTGCATGAGTGACTTTTGCCAATTTTACAAAATACTAAAATCATCAACAAGACAGAGGCAATAAGTCCATATATTTAACCAAGCACCCACTCCTTTAAGCATATGTTATCCGCTGCCCTACCTTTTCCTACCTTTTAATATTTGTGATAAAGTAATTCTTGCGTTAAAAAAACTGCGCTGAGGTCCAAAAAATCCCTTATAGATCATCTAAGACACTTAAGACGCTAAGATATGCAAAATATGATAAAAAGTATACCAATAATTAAATAGAAAATAGTATTTTTGTGTCCGTGCTACCCACTTTAAGTTGCGTTTGAATGGGATAATAATCTTTTTAGTTTTTCCTCTTTCATCTTATTATATAGAATATTTTTTACTCGAAACCTTATATTTTTCAGTACCTGGAATGGTCCCCACTCCTGCACCAGGTAAAGCTGTTCATGTTTAAACAAAGTCAGTCCCAAAATGCCGTTGAAAATCAATGATCTATACAATATGCATGTATTATTTATAATTAATAAACTTCGTAGTAGCATAATGTATAATATACAGGTTATATATCCCAGGAAAATGATAACGTTATATACAAGTTATACATTCATTTATATATCTCTATTCATGTGTGTTTAAACTAAATATTATATTTACAACTGTAAAATTTAATAGAATCAAACATTTATACTTCTTTGTATCACATGCAACTTTGATATTGATTTGGAATATTTTCATGAATGATTTTGAACATTACATGCGTGAAGGCATTTAAATCATTCTAATGACTATCTTCTATATACAGGCACTGGTTTGGGAGCTGTAAGTAAGTATCAATAAAAATATATGTCTCTTACTGATTAACAAAATGAATATTAACAACTAAATGAATGTCGTTATGTAACTGTTTTTAGAGGGCAAGAAATTAGTTTTAGTTTAAACATATTTTATTTCTCAGAATATATATACATGTTATAATTCACAATATACAGATGCAATTCAAATATTCTTTAAAAACAGGATTAGAATGAAAGACAACATGTCTTATGAAATTCTTTTCCTAAGTGAGTAATTGACATGTAATAGGCGCTTTAATAATTACATATTTTATAATCTGAGAGGAATATAATATAGAAAAAAAATCTTGAAAACAAAACATATTAGAGAAAAAGAAAACACAGAACTTGATATGTATTCAAATGCTTTAAGAAACATTATATAAGTTCCATTGAATATATTTAGGATGAATATATCAATAGATTGAATTAACATTCAAATAAATATTATCATACAAAGTAGAATAGTATTTGAAAAGAACACAGAAAGGTGAAAAGGTAGTGAAGAAGGAGAAAGATAAATAATGAGGTATAAAGTATAGGAATATAATGTTTAAGTGTTTGGGTGTTAAATGAATCTTTTTGTCTCTTGGATGTAAGTGTGTACGTGTGAAAAAATAATGTCATTAGTTTGGTCAGAAAGGTCTGGGTTGCCTAAAAGTAGAACATTTAAATCAATGTCAAAGTTATTTAAATTTCGAAGTAACTTTTGTCGAGCTGTGTCAAATTGTGTACATTCGAAGACGAAGAAAAAATGAAAGTTATTTTCTATTTGGCCGCAAAGACATAAAGGTGATGCAGTTATGTTTTTCAAAAACAAATGGTAGTTTAGAGAACTACACTTTGTTCGAAGTCTTGTAGGAAGAATTTGAAGTTTTCTTTCACCAGACAAGTAATACTTAGGCGTGTGCCGTATGTTTTTCTTCAAATTTTGTTTAAATGATGTGATAGTTGGAAGGTTACGGACGTCGTGTGGAAGATTATTCCATTCCCTTATTGCAGTCGGAAAAAAAGAGTTAAAATAAAGTGTAGTTCTTGCATATATTCCCGGAATATTGTCAATATTTCTTAGGTTGTACCTATTATTAGTTGATGTTGGGAGAATTGAGAAAAGATAATCTGGAGCTAGTCCGTTTTGAATTTTAAAAAGTAAGATCATTCTATGTATATATCGTCTTTCTTCGAGAGATTCCCAGTTTATTTCATTTGAAAGATTTTCGAGTGAAACAAGTCTTGTACATCCGGAAGCAATACGAGCACATTCGTTTTGGATTTTGTTAAGTTCGTCTAATTCAAAATTTGTAGCATTTCCCCATATAACATCAGCGTATTCAAGTAATGGACGAATGAAAGAAGTGTAGATTGTCTCTAGTGATTTTCTGTCTAGGCGAAATTTAAGTTTTCTCATAATATTTACCCTATTCCATGCTTTATTTGTTATATAATCTATATGTGAGTGCCATGTGCAGTTATTCGAAATTAAAACTCCAAGATGTTTGTGGTCGGAAACTTCAGTAATAGTCTGATTATTCATTTGTAGTTCTGGGTGTTGATTTGGATATCTCTTTCTAGAGACTAATAAAGACTCAGATTTAGAAGGATTAATGAAACAAGCCATGTATCTGCCCATAATGAAATTCTGTCTATATCCGACTGTAATGTGATAGCAGCTGTTTGTGGATTTTCAACAACAAGATAAAGACTGGTATCATCGGCGAATAAATTGATACAAGATTGTATATCTTTAACAATATCGTTAATAAATATGAGAAAGAGGAGAGGACCAAGTATTGAGCCTTGGGGGACACCAGCTGAAAGGTAACCAATAGACGATTTAGAATTAGAAAGGACAACACGTTGTTGTCTATCTTTTAAATATTCGAGAAACCAAGTATAGACCTTTCCAGAAATCCCAGCATGTTTCAATTTAGTAAGTAAACCCTTGTGCCAAACCTTGTCGAAAGCTTTACTTATGTCAAAGAAAATAACTCGTACTTCTAGACCGTTATCAAGGACTTTGCAAAGAGTATCGTAAATAGACACTAATTGATTGACTGTTGAATCGCCTGGTATAAATCCTGATTGAACTGGAGTAAGGAAGTTATTATTTTGCAAAAGGTTAAAGAGATGTTTGAATATACGTCTTTCAAATACTTTCTCCATGGTGTTTAGAAGTGAAATAGGACGATAGTTACTAGGTAAGGATGAATCACCTTTTTTGAAAATTACAGTTACATTAGCTTCTTTCCAAGAAGATGGTATGATACAACTTTGGAGAGAGTAGTTGAATAAGTTACATAAGGGGACATAAAGTTCTTGAGAAGCTTCTTTAAGAATTGTATTACTGATTCCATCAGGACCAGATGCTTTATCGGTTTTAAGAGATTTAAGGACAGATTGTGTTTCGTCTGGAGTAAGAACAAGTTCAGATAATATACTTCCATTCAATGGAGGACCAAGATCGGGGACATCTTTATCTGAGTTGTCGACTTGTGTCTGCTGAAGAAAATATTCATTTAGGAGATTTGCCTTCTCTTCGTCAGAAAAATGTAATTTGTTTGTGTTGCTCTTAAGTGGGGGCATTGTTTGACTGGTTGTAGATGAAATGAATGTTTTTAAAGTTTTCCACCAATCCTTAGATGATAATGATTGTTCTTTTAGTTTATTTGCCATATTACAGTAATAATTGGATTTTGTTTCCCTGATCAGTAACGTAGTTTTATTTCTAAATTGTCTGAATTTTTGCCATTGAGTTGTTGTTTGTTTAAGTTTAGCTTTTTTATACAATCGTTTTCTTATTCGAATATGACTTCGTATAGTACTTGTCATCCACGGAACATCGGAAGGTCGAATATATATCATCTTATTAGGAATACAATCTTTGGCAATATCTAATAATTTCTCTGTCATTTTGTTAGTATATATATTTATGTCAGTATCAATGCAATTGTTCCAGTTAGTAATCTGTATATCATTTCTTAACTTTTCATAATCACCACGCTTATATTCCCAAATAAATCTTTGAAAAGATTTTTGTTTATACTTTTTAAATTTCAAAAAACAATAAATTGGAATGTGATATCGCGAATCTTGATCTAGGAAATGTTCACCAACACCAGAATGAAGAATGTTTTCTTTGTTGGTTACAAATATCAAATCAATAATTGACTCAGAATTTTCAGTAAAATGTGTGGGTTCTTCGATTAGTTGAGCCAAACTAAATTGTTGTGTAAGTGCTGAAATTTTTCTATTTGATAAATTGTTTAAGGCATTATAGTTAAAATCCCCTGTTATAACTATATTTGTTATATTAGTATCAACAGTAAGAGCAATTGAGTCTTCAATAAGACCGTTGTAAATTGCATCCGAGTTTGGTGCGCGATAAAAAAACTCCAAAAAGAATATGTTTATTGTTTTCGAGAATAAGTTCAATCCAGATATTTTCAAGAAAGTTAAGTTCAAGATATCGTCTTCTCATGTAATGTAAGTTATTTTTGATATATACTATAACTCCTCCATAAGTATTTTGTACGCGATCTTTACGTTCGGGACTAAAATATGATGTAAGAGCGAGATCTTCGGTAGGTATATTCGGACAAAGCCATGTTTCAGAGAAAGCCAGTATATCAAAGTCACGAAGTTCTGAATAAATTAAGTCAAGTTTATTACGAATGCTTTGGACGTTTAAGTGGACGAACGAAAGGTGATGTTGAATATTAGTAAAATCGGACTGAGATTGGTCTGAGCTTGTTGAAAACAATGATTCGGGGCCAGGGTTTTTATGGACATCACAGGATCGCTCATTACTGCCTTTACCTGATCTTTCATATTTGCTAAGTCAATGTTTGTAAGGGAAGTCATTAAGGGAACAGAATCAGCACTTGGCGATGTATACTCTTTCATACGTGATGAAGGATTTTCATTATCAGTTGTTGGACTAAAGATCTCGTCATTTCGGCGTTTGACAGGTGTTCCCATAGTATATGTATACTCTTTTTGCGATTCGGATTTCGAATTGGTTTCCATGATATTCATAGAATTATTATTATAGAATAAAATAATTCTTAAAGTTTATTTTCGTAGCAAATGTAATGACAAGTAGATTTACAGTAAAGCAGCTTAAATGTACCGATCATGATCACTAAAGATATGTAAACAATTCATTTATTGGTGATGCACGTACTTTAACGGTATATTAGTTTTATAGTAAATTGTATGGCAAATAGTCAGTTCAATATACCGATAGTAACCACTGTATATATCTAAACATGGCGTAATTGGAATGTGTTTTGATAACAGTTCACGATCATACCTGTGATTCAGCTTTGAATCTATTTTATCCACATTTTACAAAATAAGTCCAAGGTTTTCACTTTAAATCACACAAATTCCAAAATCACTGATATTCCATCAACATTTTGAGCTATTTCATATTCAGATTGGTAAAGTATTACTATATAAAATCAATCAAATTCCATCACATAAAAATTGTCAATGCACCTTGGCCGCCATTGTGTTATGTCAGGGCAAGAAATTGATACAACCGATTTTATTCTTGACAATGTAAACATACTTGACCAAATAAAATTTTGTTTCTTTGTTTAAATGAGTGTTTGTTAAA